GAGTTTCACTTTTAAGAAAAGGGAAACAAGATGGCTCACAAGCTAAGCAATGATGAGGATTCCCAAGAGTTCAAAACGCTCTGCAATAGTTTACTTATGGCAAATATAAGGGAAACATATAATGCTGCTAAAGATGCAGTTTATCAGTTTATCCACGCAAAACCTGAAAGAGCCTTTCTGTCAACATGATTTGATTAGTAAGACCACTGTAGAGCATCTTCTCACAAAGCACGGAAGCTCTAAACGGGATTTGTTGGTGAACTCGCCATTGCCAAAGCAGAATTCCCTGAATAAAAAGTTCGGCCATGATCTTGACAAAGCCATTGCTGATGACATGACTGACATCTTCAAGAATGCAGATAATGTGTGGTGCACACAGCCTAGTCAGGAAAGTGACGCCCTAAAATACGCAGATGCAGAAGACCCAGTAGATTTCTTGGAAAGTTTGGAGACTGTCTTGGAGAGCTTGGTGCCTGGGTTCCACATATAGCTTACAAAAGATAGGTCAGAAAAATTCAAGACTTGTCATGCCCTATCTGCCCACCAGAAACTAGGTGTCACTGGGACATTCTATACCAATGGTTAAGAACTCAAACACAAGTGAAATGATAAGTTTGTCCCATTGTTTATGTTTTCGATTCAAAAACGTAGAATGAACAGTGCATTTTGTCATCTGTTCATTGAAAGTTATAAGTTTTAGGTGCTCATGCATACTCCTTTTTAAAAATTTTATTTGACCACCAGCAAATCGTAAGTGCTACGCCAGAGCCTTTGACAAGGGTGAGGCTGCGGCCTTGAGAAACAGGTATTTTAGTGTTGTACTTGCCTGATTTTATATTCATCATGCAGACATGTCTCATAACACCGTGGCTTATGACTCGCGTGCCGTGTCATAGCGCACACTGCTTTAAACAAAAGCTTTGTGTGCCAAACAAAAACTCCCAGGACAGTCTTTGTTTTACTTATCTAATATGAATATATTAGTGACATTGTGACACGGAAGTTGTGCCGTGTTGTGACATGCTGCTCCTGCATTCACCTTATTCCCAGAGATCCCATAGAGGGTCACATTTTATGGTGATAAAAAATTATCAAAGTTTCACAGCACACCCATCTAGGTGTTGATCTTCACAACAACCTCTTTTGGAGAGTCCATATCTCTAAGATTTATGAGAAAGCTTCTAAGAAGCTTAATTTCACAAAAGTATCAAGTACAAGGTTGACAGGACTACTTCAAGAAAACTGTACAAATCTTTGGTGTGTCTTCTAATGGAATACGCTGATGTGTTATGGAATGGATGTGCTGAAAGTGAGAGCGATTTCTTCGAGCATGTGCAATATGAGGTAGCTAAAATTGTAACCAGGGCTATAAAGGGGAACAGCAAGCACTGTCTTAGGCAAGAAAATGTGTGGGAAGATATCAAAACTAAAAGAGTCATTCATAAATTGTCTTGTTATATTTTAAGATCATTAATAATGTTTGTTGCAGTTATTTAGTTGATTTTTTACCCCTACAAGTTAGTGAAAGAACAACTTACTCCTTACGAATGGCAACAAATTTGTCTCTCCTCGTAACCCGCACTGAGTGTTTTAAAAGATCGTTTTTCCCTCTACTACAACCTTGTGGCATGACATTTGTTCTGGCATACGTTGCCTCAAAGCCATTGCCTTCATTTTCCTTTTACTATGTGCTTAGTTATAATGCTACTTATGATTTTGCTATTGATAGATTTAACCACTTTGACTAATTGCGAAATAATGTTATTTCGAAGTGGGTTTTTTTTGTTACTCTTAGGGCAAACTTCGTCAATATATTGTTTTTAAGTAAAGAAAACCCAGAAAAACCTTTAATGGCAGGCCAACCAGCTGACCACTTACAGGTTGCACCCCCATTTTCTAAACTTAGGATGGATTTCTTTGAACCTTTTAAGGTAAAGCAGCTCTGGAAGCTGAAGAAATAAGGTTGCGTTTTCACCTGCCTTCTGACCACAGGAGTACCTGTGGGAGTCGTGCACTCCTTGTCTACAAATTCCTTCATCATGTGTCTTCAAAGGTTTATCACAAAAAGATATAAACCAACTGTTATCTGCTCATACAATGGCACAAACTTTGTTGGGTCAAACCTTGAAACAAAAAAAATGTCTTGATAAGGGGATTCAAGGCAAAATTGCAAGTACACTGAGTCAAGAAAGAATTCAGAAGGTGTTCAACCTCCTAGTACAATCCACATGGGGGAGTTAAGGGAGCATTTGGTAAGATCTTCCTAGAAAGCTCTAAATGTTGTCCGTCAAATCAGGTTCTGACCGAAGAAGTATTGCTGACTGCGCATTATAGTAAAACTACTTATGGCCCTTTTACAAGATTGACTTTATTCTATTATAGCTTTGTTATCCATTAAAACTAGCCAGCTTCAAAAGACGCGGAAATCATCACTGCTGACCACTGACCATCAAAACAAAACATTATTGTCTTACAAGATGATGGGTCGATCAACACCAGTGTTTTGCAAAGAAACCAACATTTATACATTTATCAGTGCTTGAACTCTAATAGTAACAAGCCACTAGAAAAGAAGAGGTGTTGTAAGAAGCATTACGAACTGAGCTAAGAGAACTGTTGGCAAACCCGAGAGCAAAGAAATATGGGAGACCACATCAAGCAAGCATACAGAATGAACAATGAATGAGACTGGATAATTGAAAGGTAGGCTGAAACCCCCAGTTTGGAGAAATCAGCAACACCATAACTCATACAGGAGTGAGAGAAAGGAGAGGATGACACAGTAGAGCGGACATCCGGGAAGTTCTCGGGAAGTTATCAGTGGTGATGTCGTATGTCAGTGGTGTGCATGAGAACATGAGGTCATGACATGTAGTCACATGTATTTACATCACATGATCAGTTTATAATACACACTTGATCTTGACCGAAGCACGTTCCTGTTTACTTGCTCTTTTGGTCGAAAACACAGAGTGAAGTTGAAAAACGGGCTTTTTTGCATGTAGTGTGTCTAGGAAAGCTCTTCTGTTCTACAGTTATTGGAACATGCCCTTCAAAAGGGTGTCTAGAAAACTCAGACCTCAGACCCAAAAACTCAAACCCCCCTCCCAAATCCGGGAAAACTCAGGCCCCCAAGAAATCTGACACGAAAACCTGCACCTTATTGTTTTATTATTTGTTATTGATTTGATGTGGCGAACCAAGTGTTTTGAGAAAATATTTTAAGGTTGACTCGAGTAGAAATAGTATACACAAGATTTAAGTTGTTTAGAGATTTGGTTGCTATGTAAACCTTAGTAAGGTAGCAGGAAAACAATATCCTTCTTAGGAACAGTGGAGACATGGTTGTTTGACTGTTAACGTTCCTGTTTATAACATCGTTAATGTGATGAATGGTTATCCCTTGACGGTAACCATTTTGTTGACCACATCCAGATTTGGGGGGGTCTGTGTTTTTGGGTCCCAGTGTTCTAGGTCTGCGTTTTCCAGACTTGGGGGGTCGGAGGTCTGAGTTTTCTAGACACCTCTTCAAAAGGGATCAGAGACAAGACAGCCTGCTACCATGCAGCCAATACCATCGTTGCCTTTAAAGATATCAGTCAGCGATCTGGAACATGCATTCAACAATTAGATCAGACTTCTCCGATCTACAAGAATGAAAGGGTTCCTACGACTGTTACCAGTTTAATGTTAAAATTGTGGATATGCCAGCTACAACGCAAAATGAAACCTCCGATCAAACTGTAGCTCTCTGCCTTAGGCTGTTTGAAGCCCTTGGAGTTGAAGATGTTTCGCTTAACGACATCGATATTGCTCATCGGATACCGAGCCGTTCTGCCTCGAACAAGCTGAATGCTATCTTTTGCAAATTTACCCAAAGACTGGCAAAGGGAAAAGTTATGGCTGTGCGAAGGAAATTGGAGAACCTCGAGGCGTCACAGTTAGGCTTCCCTGACGATTTTGATATCAGTCATATTAACTTGTATGATCATCTAACTCCTCGACTACAGTTGAAAAAGTTCGATTAATAGTTTAGTGATTTCTGTATTAAAGTATTTGTTTGTTTGCTTGTTCAGATTTAATGTAATTAAAATAAAACTGTGATAGAATATTATTTATTGTAACTTAAAATTGTAGTTTTCCTTCCTTTTCCTTTCAATTTATTTTTCTTTTAACTGGTCCGCCTAGATTAGCAATTGCTATTTTGCGGGCCAGTCTATTGTAACCAATAGTCTTATGAAATAAAGTTGAAGAGTTGAAGAGTTGATAGCATTGATAACTTTGAAAGAAGTGAATACAACAGATGTTGAAACAAGGGAGAATCCTCATGAGCAGAAAATTGATGATGAGATAAAAAAAAAAACAGGCAAATTGTTGAAAAATTTAACTTTCCTGTTCAACAGCCTAATTCTTTTCCATTTTTAATGATGCTGGATACTTAAAGTGCTACTGTGATCAAATCAAGCATCATTTGTTGTTTTCGTTTTTTAAAGTGTTTGAAAGCAAACAAATACGCATACGAAATTTGAGACCATAATTCCAACTGGGAGTTCGCTTTTTTGAGCCATGTTTTTCTCCAGTGGACGTTCGCCATTACTGAAACAAGGAATGGCATAGTGAAAGGGAGGGATTGGTTCGAGGTCAAGCGTTATGTCATCCCATCCTTTGAATTAAAGTGTGAATAATAGCAAAGTTAGATCTCTTCACAAGAAAAAGGGGATTTTCTGATCTCGCTCATTTTCATCAGGTAAAGATGCCTTCTTGTCGCTGCGTTGTTCAAGACTAGCAACAAGTCGAATCCTAATTTAGGCATTTCTTTGCACAAGCCGAAGAATAGCTTTGAAAGCCAGAAAGGGAAAGCCTTCTTCCGAACACATTGCGCTAACTTCAACCCTAAAGGGCTCTTCAAGATTTGTTCCGTTCATTTCACCACCGATTGCTTCAAGCGGGCAGTTCGTGTACCTGGCGCTCCCAGAGTTACAGTAGCTAGAGCCATTCCAATGATTTGGAAATTACGTGAAGCAGGCAATTCCAGTGCCATGTCAGTGAGAGATCGGTGTATGGTAGGTAATAAAACATTGAAGACATTTGATCCTTGCTCACACGTACACTTCCTGGAATCACAGCATTTCAGCTTCAAGCCGGCATAAGAAAGGGCAAGATGCTCCACACTAGAAATCTTTTTTTCTAAAACACAGACCTAAACCACATGCACACTGAGTATTGAACAGATATGACAAGAACTGAAAGCCCAATAGTGGTTTTGTCATGTTTTGCGCTTAAACGCACAAAACATGACAAAACATTTATACAGTGTTTTGGTTGCCTTCGCTGCAGGCTTTCATCTCATAAAACTAATAATATTTTTTTTTTGGTTTTTTCAGACTGCAAGATCATATACTGATGCTGAACTGTAAAATCTTGGTTAAAAAAAATTACGGATTTGCCGATCAATATCTTTATACTTTCAGAGTTTTTTTACTGGAAAACTAAATTCTGGTTTGTAGGCAATGAAACATATCCTTGCCGAGCACAAAGCTAGAAATGTGGCCACCTCGCAAGAACATGAAGACGATCCAGAGTTTGATTCACCCGCAAGTGGGGAATCTGCAATGCTGGTATGTCCAGCCACGAGCTTTTTTTCTTTTATTCAGACAGTTGGGGACTTTATAGCCTTTCACATAAATGGTAGTCGCTTTGTTATTATTTTGTATGAATCAATTAGAGCTACTGGCCTATATTGAAGTTAAAATTTGTTTGTATTTTTCTGATAAGTTAACTCTGAATACAAAGAAGAGGTTATTGCCCACCGTTCATAAAAAAAGACAAATCAGATACTTATGAGGCTGGAGAGGGAGCCAGATAGTGATGAAATTGAAGAAATGGAAGAAGAGGTTGAGGAGTATGCAGTAACCGATCCCCTTCCGTCTTCAAACTCACTGCAGGTATTTCTGGGCAGACTTGCTTTGCTTAATAAATGGCATGCTTCCTACATACTTAGCAATACTTATTCTTAGGTTGAGAAAACTACTGAATCAACGCCAACAGACGGTTCAGTGCATGCAGATATGGATACAGGTAACTCACTATCCTCATCAAGCTCGATGGTAAGGGATTTCTTTTATTTCAAAGAAAAACTGTAACAGTACCATATTACCTTCATCATAATAGTTATTACATGTATTGTTATGAGAAAACATTCCACAGGCAAACAATTTCAAAATAACGCCAAAAAATTATTCTGTAATCATCATAGAACGATTCTTAATACAACACTTCGCAAACTATCGAACGATGGCTGAGATTTAGACAGATAAAAACAGCCTTCCAAAATCTCCGACAGAACTTGAAAAAGACGGGCCGACTTTTTCAAGTTTGTTTTCATTGGCTCGCGCATGCGTGAGGGGTGACATAGCCCCTTTCATGGAGGTCTTGGGTTGCCCAGAGACATTTACGTGCTACAATGGCTTGACGGTAGATGGTACTGACACTCTTTGCATCTTTTATCGATATGATGATGAGGTTTGCTAGGCCCGTGCCTCAGCTCTGTATGACAAGTAACATGGTTATGGACCATTTATATACGCACTGGAGTCATTTGCTAACCTCGCTAAATCAGCCTTGGCTTTCGCTTGATTATTTGGAGACATTTGCTAATGCTACTTTTCAAGCTGGCAGAGCTTTGCAGAATTGTTTTGGATTTGTCGATGGAACAGTCAGACCTGTTTCCCGACCCGGCAAAAATCAAAGAGTACTGTATAACGGACACAAAAAAGTTCACCCCATAAAATTTCAATCCATTGCTGTTCCAAACGGTTTGGTAGCCAATTTGTATGGACCAGTAAAGGGAAAATAACACGATAGTTCAATGCTAGCGGAGTCTAGTTTATATAATCAACTGGTATTATTTTCTAGGGCCACAAATGGAGACCCATTATGTTTATATGGTGATCCTGCGTACCCTCATCGTCCGCAGTTGCAAAGTCCTTTTAAAGGAGCAAGGCTTACTCAGAACGAGATGGACTGGAAGAGTGCCATGAGTAGTGTGAGGGTATCAGTTGAATGGATTTTCAAGGACATAATTAATTACTTTAAATTCTTAGATTTTAAAAAAAATTTAAAAGTACAACTCAGTGCAGTAGGAAAAATGTACATTGCTTGCACTTTACTTCACAATGCTAGGTGCTGCTTACATGGTTCAACAACTTCCAAATATTTTTAAGTCCAACCACCAACACTGCAAGAATACTTTGTGTAAACAAGTGACACTCCTATATCATAGCTCCCAGTTCTGTCGATAAGCTTCACTGTTTCACATATGATTTATTGTACTGCACTTCAATAAAACCAAGTTGCCTTTTGAGTCTTAACCTCTTTATCTGGTGTTTAAAGTCAGGAGATAAATGGGCAGGATAGCCTCCAGTATTAGGATAAAACTATTAACGAGTTTGTTATTATAAACATATACAAAGGTAACAATGGCAGTGAAATATTGAAAAGCACACATTCTTCTGAAAACGTGGCTATGTTAGATATCAGGATCCTCTCACAGCTTAATCAAACTAACACCGTTCCTGGAAAAGTCATGGCAATCTTGACAGTCAAAGCTACGCTTTTCCTGAATGTTCATAACAGTTTAGAGTTGTCAAGAATGGTTATTTCATTTAAATCACAAGTGCAACCTGCTGTTTCAATATTTCTTATTAATTCCAGATTGAAATACACAGGATTGCAATGATTCATTGAAATGACTTGCATTGTGCCTGACGGGGAAAAAGTGTTAGGCTGGCAAGTGATCCGTGGCACAGCACCCCCTGCCCCCCCCAGTTGCAATGTACATGTATACAAAAACACATGCACAAATAAACCAAAAAAACGGTTTGGAATAAAAACTGAAGTCAACATGCTGTGTTCCCCGCACAGTGCAAAGCTAAGAAAATAGTGGTCAGGGCAGTTTAGTACTTCATGGGACTCATATTGTTATTCAGCAACTGACGTCCGAAAAATCCTGCCAGGGCAACTCTGCTAGAGAACCTTCCCAACCCCATACCTTGCTCACCTTGAGCAAGCCTATCACCTGATTCAAAGAAATAGTGCAAATTTTCATGGAAAATAAATGAAATTACACTAAACAAAAAGTTGATTAACATAATGGTGATCAATTTCATGCTTTTCTGTGCTCAGTTAACGGGTTCCAAGAAAGTGATACTTTTACGCTTTTGTGCACTTTTTAGGTGTAGTTATGATACTTGAATATGGCCTCTTGAAGGGATCCTAATATAAATGACCCTAAATAAATACGTTTTATTAACAGTCATAAATGCCACATGTTAAATGTACTTTTCTTAGGTGTCTTTTGTTTTGAGACTGCACCCTGCAGTAAACTTAGCAAAGCTGTATTCTGCAGTTGCATTTGCTGAAGCAGCTGCTCCTGTTGTTTCTGGTGGCTTTTAATGCTTTCACAGAGCATCTTTGTAAGATTATCCTGCTGTGCCATAAGACCCTCTTGCTGGACTTTCTTTTCAACAAGCTCCGCCCTTCTCAATTACAGCTCCTCCCTCTTTGGACTTGCATCTAATTCAGCCTTTTCTCTTAAGTAGGCAACAGTTTCTGTGCCAGTAGAACATTTGGATTTCTTTTGTTCTTGTTCACCCTTCCTCTTTTTGCTCTAGGCAAAAGTCTCCATTGAAGATTTTCGCATTTCTACTGCCTTTGCAGTCTCTTCATCAGCCTTTCCCCTCTTTTCGGCATCTTGCTGCTGGTCTTCAGCATCTGTCTCTCTAAAATGTTGAATTATGGCAGCCATGGACTCATCAAATGATGTATGCAATGGAGCAATACCACTGGCTTTTTCTTCTTCTCTTACTTTCTTCTTTTGTTCTTTCTCCAGGAAAATGAAGTGATCACGTACTGACTTCTCGTTTACTGTAAACTTAGGAGATTCATACTGATTCAGGGAGTCACTTATTCTTTCCCAAACTTGGCCCCTTTGTTTACTCCCTCGTTTGAAATTCCACGGTTCAAACAGGTACGTTTCTTGCACCAACACTTCATTGTGTTTATTGGTCCACATCATAGGCTTTTTAGCACGACAAATACAAATATACTGTTATGACATAAGACAGAGATATTTCATATTTGTACATCTTACTTTAATGTCATCTACTGTGAAGTTTGAAGGCCATGTTTCAGTTGAAAGACCTATCTTGGATTCATTGATGATCCATAACCTTCATGTAACACTCTTCTTCAAAGATATTTGAGATCACTGCCGGATACACAAAGAAATATAAAAACTTAAGTAGTCTATCTTCTAGATATCACGGACCACTCTTACAGGGATAAATAGTGAAAAAAAGGTAGATTTCATCATAACAGTTAAAATCATGAGCCTGATAAAAAGAACAGGGAGAGGTCAAGTTTACATTTCATTTAAAGTAAAACGCCCTAAATGTAGCAAAAGCTGAATACAACTTCTAAATAGAAATTGTCTAAGATGGAAGTAAAGTAATTTTCGCTGTCCTTTACAAATGTTTCAGTTTTAGGCATGCATGAATGTTTCTAATCAATGAACTCAATCTAAAAGCAATCCAACGGAGACATGTCCAGCAGCATGATAAATCGACGGCTGTCATTCAGATAACGAGCAGAGGAAAATTATAAGCTTGCAGTATCTTGAAAACTGGAGTTAAGTGTTCTAGGAAAGAACGAAAATATCGAAAAAAAGAGTTGTTTTTAAGACGATCAAGTAATTGGTTTCTGGCGTAACATTTAATTCTACTCTGCACCAAATACTGAGATTTAACATAATTTTGAGAGCGGGATAAGCCATAAAAACAACATCAAAAGTGCGTTTGTGTTCACAACATAAGATAAACTATACCCTGATAGAGTTTGACTCACAAAAGGAAGCAAAATTTCGCAGAAATTTACTTTTTTGAACAGACTTTGTCTAAAGCCTCCATTTTCAACCACGCCTTCAAAGAAGCAGATCTTCCTGCCTCGCTGTCAGCCAACGCTGTCACAACACCACAAACGCATGTGCGATGGTGAACCTTTGGCCACGGCGTCGCAAAATTTTCGGATCATAAACTTCTTCGTATTATAAACAGGAGGGAAGCAGCATTTTTTTTTATTGAACGTTATTTAGTCCACTTCGACTTTCTTCAAAGTATCTTCAAACTGCTGTACTTCATTTTTACTGTCATGCAAATAAAGTCAGGAAGAAACCCACAAACCCCCAAAAGGAAGTCACGGTTTTTAAATCACAGCAGGCAACTGCAACAGCAATTGAAAAAAACAGTTTTTTTTAGAACTTCCACAAATGTTTCACGCTGGTGTCATTTTGGCCACATCATTGTAGACTCATATACAGCCAAAAAAGTAATAAGTTTAGATTACCAATGTATACTAAATATGTGGACTGGGGCCAATACAAAAGCCATTTAAAGTGACAGTTTTTTACACGTGTCTAGACCTCTCTACAAAGAATAAAGCACTCAAAAAAGAGATCAGAGCTTAGCGATTTAAAGTCACGAGACTGACTAACCAGATGGTAAACAACCAAAACCAGTGGGTCGAGACTTTGCAGGAGATCCAGTAACATAAATCTAAAGAAAAGATCATTTAGTGCCAGATTGTGGTGAGTGTTCTGAATTTGCGTTGGGAGGGGGCGGAAGGAGTATTCCAAATTGTGGGCTATACAAGACTTTGCAGTTATTCTCATTTGTGCTGTTTATCTTTGATGGATATTCCATGTATATTAGTAAAAAGGCAGTCAACCCTTGGTTTTCAAACAACATCCAATTTTTTTCCCGTTTATTGCATATTACAGAAACTTTTCCATCAGATAAATAATCTATTTGTTGATGATAGGCTACAAGTAAAGATAATACAAGCCATAATGATTCCTTTTCTCTACATAACACAGCACAAGCTCACAATGCTCCCACTGTGTTTGGTGACCAGAATTACGGGTGTAGATGACTTTACAGAGGATAGTGATGATGATGATGATGACAATGAGGAGCCAGAGAATGATGATGATCCTGACTGGACTCCTGAAAAATTAGATGAAGTCTATCAAGAATTAGGAGACGATAATGTGAATGACAGCCAAACAACAAAGCCTAGGTACTGTATAGGACGTACCATAACTTACTAGTTAATGTAGACATGCGCATGCAAGTGTGGTCCATTTTGTCTTGAATAAAAGTCTCATTATTTGTGAAGTAAAAAAGGCAGAAAAAGCCTAGAAATGAACAAAACAGCTAGGTAATGCAAACTTGACGAATACTTTCTATCGGAATGTTTCCAAAATAGAACAAAAGGTGTGTGCTTTTCCACTTGCGCGAGTGAAACCAAAGCATAAAATATGCTTTTCACACAAGTGAAAAATGGCTCTCAAATTCGACCTACCCTTTAAATTTCGATAACCTGAGCTAAACAGTTGCAAAGAGGGCTCTCTTTTCTGTCAGATGACAACGTAATCCAAAAACGTTGATGAGTTTTTATACACAGACATGCTGTGTGACATGGAAGACAGCCTGAAATTAGTCATACTTAAGGTTATTGCAAAACAGCTAAAGGTCGATTACGTCAGAAAAATAAATTCGAAAATCTACTCTTGCAACATCATAAGGACCTTCAAAACAGTTACAATTCTAAAATTTTAGCTAAAGAGGCTTCAGAATCTAGAATCTGAATTAGTTCACAATTGCTTATCTCTTCTGGATGGCCATGTTTTAAAGCCAAGAAAACGCAATGGAGGCAGCTGCCACACTTTTCCTTGATACAGACAACCATGTCAAGAGTGACATCGACTGGAATATATGTATCATTTGGCAGGAAAGAAAGTTTCCCAAACAGAAGTTTCCTCTTTCAAAAGGAACTAATGCAGGTATTTCTAGGGTTTTGCATTGTGCTGGCATAAGAGAACACGTTCAAGATGGTACTTACAAGCGCTGTTCAGAAATAGTTAATTGTTTGGAGAAGAAAGGAAATCAAGATGCATTTTGGCACAGACAATGTTATACTGATTTCACAAACAAGGGACATATTCAGCGTCTTCAGAAGGGCGTATCTGCTAGCGAAAAATCGGACGAAACGGTCCTGGAGGGCACCTTTTTAAGGAGATTATCTCTGGAACGAATGGACTGGAGTAAGTGCATCTTCTGTCAAACAGAGCTTAAAAGGGTAGCTTTGAGCCAAGTTCAGAGCTTTGAGACATCAGGGAAAGTAATAAGCAAGGTCGTTGATGATAAGGAGCTGCAGGTTGGCTGGTATCAGTGATCTAATAGCTGCACAAGGAAAGTATCATCTGAAATGTTATACATGCTACCTGAACAAGATGACTCAGAAGATCTCGGAAGATGATCAAGATGCTAATGTTACATGTTTTAAAGAGGTCATGGCTTTGCTCGAGATGAGGCTTTCAGAAGGCCACATCTACTCCCTAAGGGCCGTGTGGACATATTATTCCAAAAGGCTGGAACAAAAGTATCATCTTCAACCGAGTGTTTACAGAAGTAACACGCTTAAAGAAAGAATCCAGAATTTTCACGGTGCAAGGGTTACATTTCTTTCACACTTAAACCCTGAGCCTCATCTAATATTTTGTTCTAATTTGGGTGAAACAGCATTGAAACACTTGCTCAAAGAACCGAATCAGCAATGGAATTTAGACCAGGAATCATGCAATGATAAGCTAATCAATGACGCCATCGAAGATGTCAATCTTGATGCTGAATTGTTGAGTTGGTTGTATCGAGTTTCAGTTTAAGTTCATCAGGACGTCAAGGCTGCACCTGGTCATGATTGAATCGGTAACATCAACCAAGAAAGTGCCGAGAAAACAGTTCCAGAGGGTTTGTTTATTTTGATTTCCCTCTTGAGCAGTGGTCCTCAACAGGATGACCAAGAAGCTGGTGCGGATATGAAACATCGAATATTAAGTATCTGCCAAGATATATTATTCATTGCTTCCAGGGGACGTAAGCTGACACCAACGCATGTTGGCTTAGGCCTAACCATTCATCCGGCAACTCGATCGAAAGAGCTTGTGCAGCTTTTGTACAACGCTGGACACACTGTCAGCAATGAAACTGTTCTTAGAATGGACAACACTCTTGCAAATGATATTCTTGAACGGTACAAAGAAAAAGGAAATGTGTTTGTCCCACGAAACTTTGCTGACAACTCAGACACAATAACCTACACTCGATATGCTGTAGACAATACTGACATAAATGAAGAGACTCTGAGTGGTATAGGCACATTTCATGCTACACACTATTAATTGTCAGTAAGCACATGTTGCCTGATGAAGAAGAGTTCAAACTTGCCCAACAGACGAAAGTTATGTCCGTCTCTGAGCCAAGCAGTGATATGGGCCGATTGTTACATGGGTTTTCAGCGTCGCCATCTTTAGGAACACAAGTGACTTCTGTAAGTTTCCACACACGTGCAAAAGTATTAGATTTAAAGGAATTGCTCATCAGGGATGCTATTATGTGCAAAGTCACTGGTAAACTATCTTGAAGTATTCTTGCTAGAATTTTGATACTTGCATATACCAGTATTATCCAACGTAAATGAAAGGTTGGCTCACAGACAATTTGTCAATTTCTTAGACGATAACAACAAGCTATCACAATTCCAAAGTGGCAATAGTAAACACCATTCCACTGAAACGTCTCTTCTGGCTGTCACTGATGACTTATTAAAGCTATGGATTAAAAGAAAATCTCAATATTGGTGTTGATGGACATGTCAAAAGCCTGTGACAGTATGAACCACGCCATGTTGTTATTTAAACTTCATAGCCTTGGTGTGTCTCCGGCACTCGAGTGGTTCAAAAGTTACCTAAAAGGAAGGTACAAGTATGTTCATCTTGGGGATGTGGTTTCACAGTCTCTCCTAGATGATTATGGAGTTCCACAGGGGTCCATTCTTGGCCCTGTTCGGTTTACTGTTTATATAAATGATTTATTAACTGTTCCTAAACTTTGTCAAACTGCTTGTAACGTTGATGATTCTAAACTTTACTCGAAACTAATGAGCTATGTAACGCAGTCTCCGCAGTTAACTCTCATCTGAACGAAATCTGTCAAGCGTGCTGTCACAATTCACTGCTTATGAATCCACAATAAACTAAACATTCTTGTGATAGGCGTTCTGCAATTGCTACGACAGTTACCTGACTTTACAATAACACTTTGCAGCAAAGCAATATCATCAACACCTGTAGCAAAGGATCTTGGAGTGTTTTTAGATCAGTGCCTCTCCTATGATGAACACATACGCAAAACTGTTGCTAGTTGTATAAACAAACTGATCCAGATCAATCAAATTAAGCATTTACTTAATAAAAAAACACTTTTGTTAATCATTAATAGCTTTTTTTAGCAGGCTGTTTTATTGCTCCTCAGTTTGGAGCAATACCTCGGCAACTAACATCCATAACCTTCAGCTTGTTCAAATTTTGGCAGCCAGGATTATCTTGGCACTTTGTAAAAAATGACCATATCTCTGCAGGTCTAAGATCACTTCCATGGACTTATGGTCAATGATGCAGTTATGAAGCATAAATGTCTCAAGGGTCTGTCACCTAGCTATTGTCAGACGAATTTTCAACTCGAATAATTGTCCATGATGGACAGACAAGATATAGAGATAGCGTCAATATTCCATCTTGTAGAATCAATGCTGGCCAACACACTTTTTTTTACCTTGGTGTGAAAATTTGGAATAATTTAAGTAGAGACTTGAGCGAAATCACAAACACATGTTTTAAGAGACGACTTATTAATGAACTGATTTGTAACATGAACTAGATTAGATGTTGACATTTGTACAAAGTTACTATTTAGTTATTGTTGTGCATAGTTGTTAAAGTTATTTATTTAAATAGTTTATTTATTCATCCATTTGATTTATTTCATTTAATTTTAAGATTGATGCTGAAAGGCCTTTTCTAGGGATGCACAATAACGTGTATGTATGTATGTAAATTCGTTTTTTGAGTAGAACGTATTTCGTAGAGCGCTCGACTCAATTGATTGAGGAGCATCAGCTATAACTTCACAGAAGTTCAGGTTTCACGAGTAATCATCGTTTTATTGCTACAGAACTGTTTCGTATGGTGCAAGGACCACACTCATCAGGCAATTTTGACGACTGAACTGTTGGAATTGGAAGGCTGGCAGCTAAATGCGAAAATTTAAATGGTTGCTATGGCAGATACGTTACATCCAGGTTATATGAAACTGTTGAAAGGGTTGCTAGGTAACAAAAACATTATATAAGAGGGATTATCTGTCGTTATAAAAAATGTGATATAAGCGGGTTTTAAGCTACATTTCTCTAAAGTTTCCAAGTACATCTCGGTTTCTGTGGGGGCATGAACTTGCTAATTCGTTTCTTCTGCTGAGGCTACACAGTTCTTTTTTACAGATGATTACGAACTTTTCTTTCAGGCAAAGACTACATTTTTTGCTAATGTTGCTGTACGGTTTACATTTCTTAAGAATTTTCAGGCATTACTAAAAAACATACCACTCAACATCAACAAAAGGCTAACTAACATCTCATCCAGCAAAGAAGTTTTTGACGAATCAATTGCTCCTTACCAGCAAGCACTTAAAGAAAGTGGATATGATCACAAACTAACATACAACCCTGAGCCCACTCCGAGAACCAAAAGAAAGACAAAAAGGGACATTACATGGTACAATCCTCCTTTCGATTCGGATGTTAAAACCAACCTTGGTAGAAAGTTCCTCCGCATCGTCGATAAATGCTTCCAGAAAAAACATCCACTCTACAAGATTTTCAACAGACACATTTTCAAGGCTTATGGTACTTTGCGAAACGGTTACACAAGCGCCAATGCGCCTAAATTTTTCGCGTTGGCGACCAAATCCTGAAAATTAGCAGCCTAGAATGCTTCATCACACCTTATCTCTAGTACCTAGAATGCTACTGAAAGCTTAAGATTTGTTTCCAAAGAGCAATGTATTACCAGACGCCATCTTGGATTTAGGTGACTTGGAACGTGTATGAACTATTTCAGTGTCGTCTTTGTAACACGTGTTAATTTTGTTAAATTTACACGTGTTACACAGAGGACACTAAAATGGTTCATACACAATGTTCAAGTCACCTAAATCCAAGATGGCGTCTGGTAATACATGCTGCTCTTTGGAAACAGACTTAACGAGGAAATTTGCTCCAGGTTTATCTTTACAAATCTTCAGCTTTCAGTGGAATTCTAGGTACTCTAGATAAGGTGTGATGAAGCATTGTGTTGTAACCGTTTCGCAAAGTAGCGTTTCGCAAAGTACCATTTCGCAAAGTACCATTTCGTTTCGTTTCGTTTCGTTTCGCAAAGTCGCAAAGTACCATAAGCCCACTTTCAAGCTAAGATACTCATGTATGCCAAATATGAAATCCATCATATCGTCACACAACAAACACGTTCTTTCCAATGCAAATGCCCCAACACCACAACCTGACACCTGCAATTGTAGAAAAAAGTCTGATTGCCCATTAGAAGGAAAATGCCTTCAAACTAACGTCATCTATCAAGCCACAGTTACTACTGAGACAGCAACTGAAATCTACGTTGGACTAGCCACAAACTTTAAGGAACATTACAGGAACCACAAAACATCCTTTCGACACTCGAAAAGAAGAAATGAAACAGAACTCTCCAAATATATTTGGAACTTACAAAACAAAAAGAAACCGGTTCAGATTAAATGGAAAATTCTTAAGAAATGTAAACCCTACAGCAACATTAGCAAAAAATGTAGTCTTTGCCTGAATGAAAAGTTAATAATCATCTGTAAAAAAGAACTGTGCAGCCTCAACAGAAGAAACGAATTGGCAAGTTCATGCCCCCACAGAAACCGAGATGTACTTGGAAACTTTCAAGTAACGTAGCTTAAAACCCGCTTATATCACATTTTTTTATAACGACAGATAATCCTTCTTACATGATGTTTTTGTTACCTAGCAACCCTTTCAACAGTTTCATATAACCTGAATGTAACGCATCTACCATAGCAACCATTTAAATTTTCGCATTTAGCTGCCAGCCTTCCAATTCCAACAGTTCAGTCGTCAAAATTGCCAAAATTTATTTGCGCAATTAATTCTGACCTTTGGGCAGAGAAAAACTGATCTGTTTTAAGTAAGGCCATTTTTGGGATGAACACCAATGAGTCCTTCAAGAGGAGCGCAGTTGTTGCGCGCTTCCCCACAGAGTTTCCGTAAGTCAGCATTGAGTCTCATTTATTGGTTAACGGCAAAAGGTAGCCTGGAGGGCCCTTGTCTGATGTTGAGACTGTGACATCACCTTTCAGATTTGTTTCAGGTTCTTAGCAGATGAACTCCAAACAGTTCCAATGAAGACACAACTCTAGAACATATTACACAGGTAATCAATGATTTAGATTTTACACGGGGCAGCCCATTGTTAAGCCTTGCCAATGGAGCCAGAAAGTTCAAATATTTTCCAGAAAGGAGAGATAAAGACATTTTTTTTCCCACACAAGAAAAGTGGTAGTGTCTCGTAATATCAAAGAAATATGGGACAACAGCAACCAACGGAGACAAGCAGACAGAAGACGTCAAGACACTTTGTGACAAGAAAACCGGAGATACAAATCGTTGAAAGAAGAAAGATGGATCCAGATCCTCAAAGAAAGAGAAGAAAAACGAGAATAAGAATTCCGAAAGTTCTTCTGAACCGACATGCAAGTATTGTGGTCGTAAACA